GTCAGTCGATGAATATTATATGTGAAGCGAATATAATATTGATATTATAAATAAAATTTTATATATTCACTTCCTATATTTTTATTCACTATATCGACATTATGATAGATATTTGATCAATATAAAAATATTTCACAATCGATTTTTTAACCAGATGGTTTATACCTCAAAATCTAGAAATATAGAAAACGTTTTCAACCAAAAAAATATAGAAAAAGCCAAAATCACGAAAATGAAAAATATTGTTGACAAAACTTCCAGTTTCTGGGCAAAGATTGTAATTATATAATTGGGCATCTTTAATTTATAAATAAATATATATTTGAATTTTTATCAACAATATTTTTTTTTTATAATTTCGTGACATTGGTCTAATTTTTCTATAACTTTTCATTTTCTTTATCAACACGAAAATATACTTGTTATTAACCTAAAAATTTATTTTATTTAGTTTAGATTTGATAATAAGATCAAATTTAATTTTAGTTATTTGACTGGTGAAATTAAATTTCGGAAAATGTTATCGTAATCCACTTTTGGAAAGGCAAATTTTTATTAATATTAAAAGATTACTATTTATATAGTAATTTATATTTTAAAGTATTTGTAGCTTTTGATTAAATTTTATAAAAATCAGTTGTTTTGGGGGGGGGGGGGTCTTTATTCTCCCAGATATTCAAAAAGGGTTTAAAATTTAAAAAGGAGCATAACCTTGATAAGTGTTATATCTCCAAATCTTGCACCTTGAGAATAATCGATGTTTATAAAATTTAAAATATACTTTTAATGTTTGATTTTATTAAGAAATAAATTTTTCCATATTGAGATTGAGATGTGAAATCTCATTATAATTTTAAAATTTATTTTTCACGACATTAATATTGACACAATTTTAGGGGAATAAAGGAGTATAGAAAAGATTTAATTATAAATATTATTATATTAAAAATAATTTTAATAAGAATGAGAGATTGCAAAATCGCTCCATTTGAGCCGATTCTTAAAAATGGCTAACTCAGTATTTTAATCCAGAAAAATATTACGCAACCCGATTTTGCTCATAGGTGGCAGTTTGTATATCTATTACCGAAATCTCGTGCTAGGCAATATTTTTCTGGGTGAAATATTGAGTTAACCGCTTTTAAAAATCAGCTCAAATCGTGATGCATAACTACCCATTAATACAATTTAATTGATTATTCTTATTAAGAGATGTGTCCCCTTATTCTTAGTTCTCAAATAAGATATATTTTCGAGGCATACAATGAGAATTTAGCATTTGAAAAGAAATTATTTACAACCTCGATCATAACTGTTGTAATAATCATTTTATTCAACATTTTTTATTCTACAGTGTTTCATATTTCACGTGGAGAATCATCCTGAACAAAGATGGTTCCAACAATGCGTCACATTCAATAGTTACCCATCGACCAACCATGAATTGGCTTACAACTTGTTTTCCGCCAGCATAATGTATATAATTCCACTATTCATAGTTATAACGTGTTACACAATCATTGTATGGAAGGTAAAAAGAAGAGGGTCGTCCGTTTTCCTCAAAAATATAAATCGCAATTACAATCCTGCCAATGGTAAATAGTAAATTTCATGTGAATAACATATTTTATTTAGAAATGTTACTTTCTCATACTCTGCCTGTGGTTGGGCATTAAAGTAAAAAATGGAATTTAGCATCAATTTTATTTCAATTATTTTCTTTAAGGTGATTTTTTGAACGATAATAAATTTGCTCGGATATTATATATTTTAAATTTTAAACGATTTTAAGAAATATTAACTTAGTATAATCAAGGAAATACCAACGGTTTAATACGCCTGAGAATTAGGTTATCCACTTTTTGTCAAAAATGACTTTTACGAAAATAACTTTATCAATCTATTTACATAAAAAAAAATCAAAATATTTGTAAAATAAGTTAAATCATGACCAATTTAAAGTTATACCATCTTAAATTTTTAAAATTGCTCTCCTATAAAATTACAAAAAGTTAGTGCTGTAAACATTTTTAAAAAAATCGAACGCGTTCAACGTTCATTGACAAAAATCGAACGCGTTCACGTTTACGTTCAAATTCAAAAAAAGGAACGCGTTCAGCGTTCAAAATTTTATGATAAATTTTTTTTTAAATTTAATTTAATATAAATAAATGCCTTATATTTTTCAACACAATATATTAGCCATGATAAAAAAATATTAGTTTTATTTTGATAATATAATTATAAATACAATATAATAGAGCGATAAAAAAATAAATTTATAAAATTTTTCTTAAATACTTATATTAAAATGCCTTATTATAATTAACTATATATATATATATTATGTAATTATTTTTACTTAGAACAATTAAAATAAATTATTAACTGGCTATATAGTTATACTATTATATAATATAAAATAATTAATGTTACAATCAGATGTCTTTTTAAATTGGAGCTTGAAGATGTTGACACTGATATAATACTTTTTGGACACATTTTACATTTGGTAACTATTGAATTACCTTTTGATTTTAAAACAGTGAAATATTTTTGATATTTGGGCCATGGTAATTCTAATTCATCTAATATTGAATTTTGATTTTCAGAATCTGATGATGAAATATTTATATCCATGCAAATGCTAATCTATTAAATTAAAATATAAAATATTCAAATTAATAAACTTTAATCTTATCTTCTCTAGCAGTAGCACGTTATGGTACGTTAATTGCAATATGAAAGAGGAAAAAGTAAAAACAGCTGATTAAAAAATATAAGACTTTTTTGTTAAAAAATTGGATTAAATATTAATTTTTCAAATAAATAAAAATAAAAAGTGTTTTTAAAATTGAACGAAGGTAAAATTGAACGCGTTCATCAAAGAAAAGGAACGCGTTCACGTTCAAAGTTCGTCAAAAAAAAAGGAACGCCGTTTATCACCTTTTTTCAAAAAAACGAACTTCGTTCACGAACTCGTTCATGTTTACAACACTACAAAAAGTGAAGATAGAATCTCCTAATTTCAGGCAACGATATAGTAAATGTAAAAGAAATTTAAATATATAATTATATTTATAATGCCAAAAAATTTTCCTTAAATGTAGAAAAAATTTCATTATCCAAACTTTAAGATTACTAGCATTTTTGATAGTCTAAATTACGTTTCAATCTCACAACACAATTTAAATTTTTCCATTTTACGATATTATCCGCAATATAAACATATTAAACTAAAAAAATTTAAATATATAAGATAAAAAAATCAAAGCCACTCACGATCTTCAATCCTTCCAAAAACAAATAATACAAACTGCCGAGAATGATATATTACCACACCAACAGAATAAAAAATATAAAAGCATATCTTTTAAGGATCCCAAGTACATAGAACGCACCCATTATTCTCAGTACTTAACGCCGCATTACAACAAAAAACCGTCCAAAAAATTGAATGAGAACTCCTACGCGTTTAATGTTTATGGAGGCAAAGGAAATATGAGTAATTTAAACAGTTATTCCAATAAGGTTTACTTAAAAAAAAGTTCGTTCAAACCGATTATATTTGAACATCAAGCTTTGACAAACAGCCAGGAACCGAAAATAAAATATCGCCCAAAGTACTCTTGGGGTGGAAAAAGTTACCATAAAGGTTTTAATACTAGCAATAAATTCCTCGAATCCTTCAAGACCTCGACATTCAAGTTAAAGCGACTCAACGTAAAACTCAATACTAGTCTTAAAACGCTGAAAATGACGTCTATAATCATAGCCATTTTCTTATTCTGCTGGACTCCTTATTATGTGATGAGTTTTTGGTACTATTTTTCAAAAGAAACGGCTCAAACGGTTAAATAATCCGGCTTAGCATATATTTTTTTTATTACATTACTTATTTTTAAGTTAAATAATTCTTTAAAAAATCTTAACCGATACGATCGAATTTTTAGTGAATAATATCATCTAATTTTAGAATAATTACTATATAATAAATTTGTATATTATAAAATTAAGTTATTTTAATTTCTATTTGGAAAAATAATTTTAAAATATATTTTAGGTGAACCCTATCATTCAAAGGATACTATTCATTTTTGCTGTTTTTAATTCTTGCTTCAATCCTCTAGTTTACGGGGCCTTTAACGTGCCATTTTCAGCCATATTCTCCAAATTTGCGATAAAAAGATATTTTGAGAGAAAAGGTTGAGCAATGCTTCGAACATTCGCTTTGTGAATTTAATTAGCGTGTAGAAGGTTTGAAAACATTTTCCTTCCTACTTTCTCCCATTCATTTATAAATTTAATACCTCTCCATTTTCTCTATTCGAAAATATACTAGTTATTAATTCTTCATTTATTTTTAAGCATAGAATATTACTCCCTAAAAATAATTACTCTATTAAAATTATATCAAAGAGAGATCTACAGAAGTCAATTTTTTAGACCCAGTCTAGATTAAAAAAATTTTCCCCATTTTCAAAAAAAAAAATTGGCCCGGTACTGGTTTATTATTTTTATGCCCGGCCCCGGTTTTATAAATTTTGATCATTTATGATCCAGATTTTTTTTTATTTCGTCATTTTAAATAATTTTGGCTGTATTTTATAAATGGTTTTGGATTATATTAAGAAAAAATTGACTGTTAAATTATCTATCATAAGATTTTCTAAGTCTTGATATGGGTGGTCCGGCACAGGTTTGTATTTATTTTTAGCTCGGCCCGGAAGCCCATTTGGAGGGAGCAGTGCCTGATCTATTAATATTAATAAAATTCCCTCTTTTTGCAATAACTTTTCTTTAATGTAACAAATGTTATATAATTTATTAGAAAAATTTAACCAATTTTGAAAATTATATGTAATCATTTGTTATGAGATCATTACTATAATAGCTAAAACATAATTGTAGCATTTGAGTGTTTTAATGTCAGATTTGACCAAATTTTGAAAATTAACATTGAAAGGCTTTCGAATTAAGACCTAGCCTATATAAATACAATTAATTATATCTATGTTCAATTCTACACATCAAATATCAATGTTTAGACATATACATACATAAGTTATATGTTTATATTAAAAACCGATTACACATATATTAGTACATAAAATAAGTCGACAAAAATAGATATCACATTATATATACAGGGGCGCAAGGAAGGTAAATTTAATTCCCCCTCTAGAAATAAATTTTTAGTCTTTTTTGACACAATGGATTAGCAGGCGCCCCTGTATTTTTTTAAATTTATTGCATATCAAAATATTTCTTTTAATCCTTCATAGCTAAACATATGATCGCTTTTTGATGACCGGAAAATTCCCGCTTCAAATTTCCTGTCTTTATTTCCCACAAACGAGCTTTACAATCTGAAGACGCTACATTTTAAGAAAAAAGATTAAATATATACGAAATCTAAACAAATAAAAAAATATTTTTTATAGAGCGTTATTATTTGCTGGATGCTTAATCTGAGAATCATTTTTCATCTCCATAAAACTTAAGAGACAAATAATGTCTTATATGTTTTAAATTCTACTAAGATATTTAGTATTTAAAAAATATATAAACGATGCAAATACAGTTATACCTCATTATTTAATTTCCATGGAGAGGCAGAAAATTTAGTTAACTATATAAATATATATTCTATACACGTTATAGTTTATATAGCCAAAAAAATATTCGTTTGATTATTTTTTAATTTTAATTTTTAATACTTTTTTAAAAAATTTATTATAAATTTTATCATTAAATAATATACAAATGTATAAATTAGATCAATTAAATCCAAATATTTGAGATAAAATCCGTTAACTTTTGTTTTTTAAAACTACTTTTATTTTATCCAATTATAAACGAATAAAATCATTTATAAGTTAAATTATAGGCGCTTATTTATAAAAATAAAGATTTTTTAATATAGATAAATTGTCATTTTAACTTCAAATCGGCAAAAATAAAAATAGTTTTTAGATAAAATAAGACACCATATTACTGTTACCGGCAATGTGCGTAATCAAACAATAAGTGTATTTATATATTGCTTGATTTAATATTTTAGTCGATGCGTGTAATTTTAGTGTATATATTAAAAATAACTAGGGCCTATTTAAATTTAAAAAATTTGCCGGAAATGTATTCTAGCGTGTAGTAAAATACTTACCATATTCATATACATTTCAGGAATGCTATAAGATATTACACGTTTTTCCTGATTATGCGCATTTGTCTGTAACATATATATTGCAGGGGAGTCACTAGCTTTTACAATCCAGGGGCTCAAAAATAATTTTAAATTATTTACAAAATGACATTTTTGGGATATAAAAAAATTCAAAATTTCTCTTTAAATTTTTCAGGTTGCTCGAGTCAGCAGCCCCTCCCCCTTAGTGACACTACTGCTGTATTTATTGCATTAAAAATATTAGTTAACTTAATAACACATTATAGGATAAACATAGTTAACAAAATTTAGTTAACAATAGCGAGAAGTTTACTTTAAAAATTTAGTAAACTATAACGGAATTATTTAGCAATATATGAGATAGTAAGCTGCTGGCCCGACTTTCAATTGCCGAGTTAACGATAAAGAAAATAATTTAAGAATACTAGATTGAGACTTGTGTTTTAGGTTCGGGCTCCGATTTTGAATTTATTAATTCTAAAGGTTCTGGTTCCAGAATCCACATTAGTTCTAGATTTATCAATTTGAATATAAAAGTAGACGAATACTGCTTAGAAAAAAATTAGTGTGAAACTCATCATAAAATTTGCAATAATATTGTTATTAAAATTTTAAAAAATTGAAATATTAAAATATAAAAAAAACCTGATACAAAAAGTGAAGGAAAGAAAATAAGGATAAGTCTTTTTGAATAAAAAATATTTGATTTAAATTGATTTACATTTGTGTCAAGATCGTAAATTTATTGTGCATTATAATTTGTAAGTTGATTAGGTCAATGAGAGTGATTTAAATATCATCACAAAATAATGACTAAGAAATCTATTGATTTATCCCCTAATATGTTTATAATTGAATTGACCTGTAAACCAAGTCTCTTTATTATTCTTTTGATTTTCTTTTCTTTCTTAATTTTAACTATTTTTTTAAAAAGGTTAAAATTACCCGTCATAAGGTATTGGCTATCTTTGGTAAAAGCAGCGTCCCATACCCATTTGCGGCTAGGGTTACTAAATTTCTGCAATATTTTGTTTTCCTTGACGTTCCAAACTACGGAATCTCCCTCGTCTGAACAAGTGGCCAGTAATCTTAAAAAATAAAATTCATTATTAAAATTTTCAATATTTTAAAGTTAATCAATTTTTAGAACTTTTATAATGTGTGGACATTGAAAAAGAACCATAGCCATATGTTGCAACCAATTAGCGTAATTAATCATTACGTGTTTTGCAACATAATATTTCGTTATAGCTACAAATTTAATGTAACTTTTAGCTAAGCATATGTATTGTTTGCCTTGGCTGACGAAAGCTTGTATTTTATTTAGTTTAATATGTGACTTAGTTAATATATTTAATTTTTCTAAAATTGTCTAAAATTTATAGAGTAAGTATTGAATAAAGAAAGGTGCAAATGTAATGCGAAAAATTCGATTTTTTTCAAACTAAATTTTTTCTGCTATTTTGTAGAGTATACAGTAAAAAAGATAAACTTCAAGCATTTTATAATTCATAATCACATGTAAGATGCAAATACAAAAAAAATAACTATTTTTAAAATAAATTTATAAAAATTCTTTAAGCCTAAAGTTTTCCTAATTATTCATAATTTTAGAGACATGCGCCATTTTGGTACTCCTATTTTTGCCTATAAAAATATAAGCTCACAAGATATAGAAGTGTCTTATTTTATTTTCTCCTTCTGAACCTTATCTTTTCATTCATAAATATTTATTAGAATTTAGTATTAGGAAATTTAAAAAAGAAGTAACCACTACAATAAAAAAAATATCAAGTAAATTCCAAGGAAAAAAACTAAAAATTTGCATATAATTTGAAAATTACCTGCATTCGCAGTTAGCGTCAATTCGCGGTTAATTATTCAAAAATTCATAAAAAAATTATTATATATTAATATATATTTTGTATACTTTGCAGCGAATTTGTGCTTACTATGAATGCAGGATTAAATAATTCGAATATATATTCAAATTTGTGAATAATTTAAATTTATTATTCGTAGAGATTTTTTTGTTATTCGTATTCGTAAATTTCAATTAGAGAAGTATCGAATATTTTTCGATAATATTTTTCTATAAATTTAATTTTAAAAATATATATATTATGGTAAGGATTCTGAGAAAGCATATTAAATGATATTAAAATAAATATTTGTTAAAATAAATATTTTTTGTTAAAAAAATATAGATTTATGATTTTAATAATTTCTAAAAAATTTTAATTTAAACTTACACCTATTCATATAATAAATAGTTGAAGATTTAAAAAATTAATTAATGAACAATATTCTTTTAGATCGCTTTATTTTTCAGGGTTATATTATTTTCCATTGAGATAAAAAAAATTTTTTTTAATAATATATAATTATTTGTTTCGTCAAATAGAAATTCCTCAAAAAATTATGATTTGCCCAACTTGTGTTTAAAATATAACACTTTAAAAAATATATTAAACTGAGAATCTGGACTAAGCTCCGTTTTCAATATGTATCGTTTATTGTGAGCTTTGAATTGAGTAGACTTGTGCAAGGGCATATAAACGGGTGGGTAAACGAAGGCTAATTTAGGTGAGGAATCAGCATCGTTAACGAGACCGTCTTATCAACCAACACAAATAAATGTAGTATCATTAATATAATGATAGTTCAAATCTATATATGGATGAGCAAATCAATTTATTATCTGTATTATGTTTCTTATTTTTTTCCCCAACATATTATTTTAATTTTTATATGTTCAAAAAGTCACTCCAAATTTTTATTTTAAATTTTAGAATATTTATCATATAAAAAATTACACGCAGCTCAATTAAATTCCTAGTCCTAACTGTGTCTGTGTGTCTGGGTATAATAGAATAATGTGTTATATTTACATTTTAAATAATTTTATTATACAGGTTTCTCCTTTTTCAGAATAATAGAGACTTTTTTAAAAAAAAACATGGTGCCCCTTTATTTAATCTAAATAAGTAGGATGTAACTATGATTTTGAGAAAGATACTATGTGGCTAAGGTTGTATCTGAAATTTCAAAAAGATTCAACTCATAAACTTTCGAAGCTTTATCCAAAATGAAGAAATAAGCTTTTTAATATAAAAATATAAACATGTCCAAAATATAATTCTATAAATTTTCAAAAATTTATTCATTAAAGTTTTAACATTTTCGAATTTTTTTTAAAAAAAGATTTTGGACATAGCTTATAAAAACTATATATAAGTTCTTTAATTTTTAAAACTCTTCTGCGATGTGTCAATAAATTTCTTAGTAATTGCATCCATTTTGTCTGCTTCTTGCTTAATTGTAGTGGCAGTTTGTTTTACGATAGCCGTTAAAGTGCGATCCACCTCAGATTGGGTTAGAATGGTTTTATCTATAGGCCATACCGAACATAATCCCTTTTAGCAAAAGTGTAGGGTTAGGTTTAAAAAAATTTAAAAACCTCAGCTTGTTTGGGTTCAAATTTAATTTTGAAAAAGAATACAATGACATTTCTAATTGCAAAATTACTTCAACCAACAAAATTACAATATTATTAAAATATTACGATTAATAATGAAGAAATACTTTACATTATAATTGAGATATAAAAAATTTTTTAAAATTAGCCTAAATCTTTGAAGATTTATTTTGAACAAGAGAAATTTTTAAATCAAATTTTACCTAAAAATGCCAAAATCTTTTGTAATTTTCATGCATAAAAAATGTATCAAGGTTTAATACATTTGATTTATTAAGCATATAATCAAATACATTAATGACAAATGGTTATAAAAAATTAATTTTGGAGAAACCAAATCCATTAAAATGATTTTTACTTTTGCAAAATGATAAATATAAAAATGTTAAGTTTGACAAAAATATGGCAACAAAATAACAAATTATCAAAACTAATAATTGTGGGATAATTATGAAAAAATTAATATTTACTTGATCATTAGATACAGCTATATTAGTTCCTATATTATCAATTGAAATACTAAGGATTGGTAAAATAGGCTCAGGGATCTAAATGTGATTTATTGTTTTTTAAAAAATCCAAGTGTAAATTAATTAGTCAATTATTGCATCATGAAAAATATTTAAATGAATAAATTTTAAAAAAATTAATTAATTAAAAATCATATTTTAAGGTTTATTGGCAAAAGTTTGCCATAAATTTTTTACAAATGAATGTAGTTCATCAGCTCGTAAATCCCAAATATAGAGTTTTCCCTCTTTAGAACCGCTTAATAGGTATATCTTAAATACAAATAAATAAAATAATCATATATTAATAAGAATACCTGATTTGGATGTAAGAATCCACAGTTTAGCTGTGCATTTGGAATTTGCTTTGATCTTTGAATTTTTGTATTGACTCTTAATATAGCAAAATTATTAAAATATTATTTATTATGAAACCTATAATCGATAATGTACAGGCTTCCTTCTTCGCCTATCGAATATAACCAATTATTATTGAGGTTAAACCCTATTTTGAAAATATTTTTTGAATGTCCTTCAAAATTAACAACTGGATTGGTGTTAGTGCTTTCATTATCATATATTCTTATATGTCTGTAACCTAAATACTTAATCATTAAGCAAAGAATTATAGCTTCAACCTGCAGCTGCTAAATATTTTCTATCACTTGAAAAATCTAGGTCATTCACTTGCTAAATCATTAATAGATCAAATAATTATAGTGACTAACAAACCGAATCTGGGTGCTGTAATATATGGTAGCAATTAGCTTCATCAATGTTCCAAAATCGAATCGTGTGATCATAACCTGCGGTTGCAAAAAGAACCTTTCCGTGCTTGGGTTTTGGTTCATTCATTTAGGTATGATGACATGAAACATATGTATAAGGGTAGTGATTGGCGTCCAATATTGAATTTTGTGTATTTTATAAATATTCGGTTTAGATAAAATAAAAATTATCTTTGTATAAAAAATAAAACGCTGTTTTTGAAACGTCTATCTTCAGGCCGGTCCTATAGACGATCATTGAGGAATTACATTAAACTTAGACTAAGTAAAAATATTAGATAACATAACGTGTGTAATCAGAATGATATATTAAAAAAAGTAATATAATACTGTAAACTAAACCATTTTATTTAGTGTGATATAAAGGTATAATATATTACAATTGTTAAAATAATTTGATTCATGCTTCCATCCTAGAACCAGATGATCTTTTCAGTGATAATTTTAAAATATCGATCTACTAATACCAGGTGCGTACGCAGGAATTTGGTCTAAGGGGGGGGGGGAATAAAATTTTTTAAGAAATATTATTGTTTTTTAAAAATATCAAGGATAAATTTATTAGGACTAATAACTATTCCTAATACACAATTTTAAATTAATGTGAATTATAAATAAATTATATGTAAATAATCACTTAAATGACCCAAAATAGAAATTTGAATTATTTGAGCCTTTACACAAGAAGTTTCTTAGAAATAATTGTATTTTGTATATATTAATGTAAAATCCAATCTTCGTTGGGATTGATCTAATTTTTCAATTATCTCATCCTTGCTTGTCGTCAAATGCCTATAAATATTCAAAAGATCCAAACCTTTCAATCTACTTTCAATGTTGTACTTCTTGTTATGTTTTTCGACCAGCAGGCCCGGCCTCTGGGCCGGAAAGTATTTTAATTTTTTTAAATATATCCGGGCCGGGCCCGAAATTTTTTTAAAAAAACACCCGGGCCGGACCTGAATTTTTTTAAAAAAACACCCAGGCCGGGCTATATTTTTTAAAACAGCTTATATTTGAAATCGTTATAGCTATAAAAATCAAAAATAAATATAATTTATTTTAAAAAAATCTGGGCTGGGCCTGAAAATTTTATTTTAAAAAAAGCCGGGCCGAGCTTAAAAATTTTTAAAAAAAAGCCGAGCCAGGCCTAAAATTTTTTTTTAAAAAAGCTGGGCCGGGCCTGAAAATTTTTAAAAAAAGCCCAGGGCGGGCCGTTAAAAATATTTTAAAAAAATCTGGGCCGTGCCCTGCAAATGGTACTTCTGCAGGCCTCTGTTATTCTTCTTAAAAAAGAGTGTGTTCTCTTATTAGTTTACCAATGGGAAGAGTTTATAAACCCTTTTAATACATTGGTAATTTAAAATGTGTTTAAAATAATGCAGAGCATCCATAGCATTTTTTGGGACTATATCAACTATAGTTAATCTTATAAACATAGTTATTCAGCTAGTAAGGCATCATAAGATACTTTAACATCTTCATAATAAAAATCTAACAAATATTTTTTTTTCTATCACCATCTGAGAAAGGTTGGGAAGGCTTTTGTGGAAATATTTGGATGTAAGTGCTGCATGATGATTTAAAAATTCATTTATTTGGGTTATAAATGTATCTGCATCTAAGATATACTCTTCTACTGACCCTATATTAATGTTTTAATGATGAGCTTGCCTTGCTACAAGTCGAGGGAGACAAATATTAAACACGTAATATATCTGCTTATGACTCAACAATAAAATATGAAATTCTTTAACAACATTAGCCCTAATTTCCTTGAGTTCTGATAAAATGCTCTCGGCTATTCTCATCTTAATAAAATCAATGTCATGTTTTTGAAAAGTAATACTTAAAATAGTTGTATAATTAAATAATACATTCTAATGAGAAATAAAATTTGGAATAAGCATTGAATCCAATAATTTTCTTGCTTCTGAAGAAATATTTCTTTCAGGCCATTGTGATATTTCAGTAATAGCAAATAATTGGCTCTTTTAACTCCTTAATTGCTGTTAGTGCTTGATGGAAGAGGCTCTATCTTGTTGGACAAGGTTGCAATTTCTTTTTCCCTGTTGGACCAGAAGTTTCAGAAATAATTATTATTGGAATAGAAATTTGAAAATGGTAGATAAATATTACGCCACTAAAAATTTGAAAATAATAAGTAAATATTAAGCTGGAAAACTTGAAATCGAAATTAATTGATAAAATAACGTATGAATGTGATAATAAATGTAATAAAATATATATTTATTATGAGATACGAATAAATATTAACAAATATAAATTAATATAAACAATAATATTTTTAAAAAATATATCCGGCATCTGCATTTTTGGCTTGGGGGGGGGGGGGTTGTCCCCCTGCCCCCCCCCCGTTGCGTACGCCTATGACTATTACCCTAAAACCTCATCCAATGTCTTCCCAGGATTGGGTTTACAGTTGTATTCACTTCTCATGACGAGACGAATTATTAACATCTGTCTGGTCTTAATTCAAGACAAATCCTTAATAATTAAATTTTCTATCCTAAGTAACAAAATATTTGTTCATCATTATCATTACTTTATCAAAGCTTCGGGGGTAAGTCCCTTTATTTAATCAAATAATTAGGGAAAAATGGCTGCAAATATCGGAAATCCCAATGACTTTACCTACGTCAAAGACTTCAGTAAAAATTTGTCTCTAAATCCCTTGTTTCAATAACCGCAAGCACAGAGTCTAAATTTTAATATTTAAAAATAATAGAAATATCATTTCTTTAATCTATCTTAATTGAAAAAAAATTATTGAAAAGGTTAAAATCTAACCATTTTAGATTGGGGGAATTTTACTCAAAAACAACGAGCTCTGCTCATTTATAATTCTTAAAATTCTGTATGGTTTGGTTAATAAAAATGAAAATAAACTGCTACCTTAGTAGTATACTTTTTAGTCCTTGATTAATAATTATTCTTTAGTCATTAATTCTTTTCATAATAATATTTTATTTTATCACATTTTTTTTATTATAATATCTTGTCATTTTTTTTAAATATATGTAAAGAGTTCGGGGCGGAATACTCAGGTTCCCCAAACTATGGGGTGGGGAAAGTTCGATTAAGATCTACCCATCGCTATTTTCGGGCATGAGGGCTTGGGTATCCCACTTTTATGGCGGTGCTTTCGCCATTGTCTAGAAGTAATCCACGAATACCAACTAAAAGAAAGGGGGAATACGGGAATTATGGCGCAGCTCAAAGAGTTGTTAAAGTATCGCATTTCAGGAAGTAACCTAACGTAGCGAGTTTTCTCAAACCTCCCCCCCCCCCTAAAAAAAACCCACCTCCCCCCATTTACAAAAAATTGTTAGGTATTTAATTTTAGTTACCATTAACAATTAAATCTAAATGAAAATACAACAAATTTTTTAGGAAATATTACTTATTTAATTTATACAAATTCTTCAAGAACATACCTATTAAAAATATTAGTTGTAAAATAACCATATGAAAAAGCAGCAAGTTATTTCCACATTTTCGTCAAAAAGACAAACATCTTCTTGAACGTGGCAAGTCAGTGACTGATAGTGCACAGTGGGACTGGTTCAACAAAAATTACAGATGCTGCAAAATATGAAAACATAATTTATTCTTCTGGACTATTTATAGCAGTGTTTTCATACACCATCCAAAAAGATTCTGAATTAGATAAAATTATGAAATTAATACTCGAAAATGTCCAATGCACACCCCAGATCCAAAATGAAGTAATATCTACTAATGGCAGGTATGGTACTTGAATATATCACAGATAAATGTAACTGTGAGATGCCTTTTTTTAGTCTTAAGGCTGATAAGACAAAAAATGTAAGTTGTGAAAACCTGAGCTTAAATTCGTTATATTTTTTATGGAAAAATCTAAGAAAATTTAATTGGAATAATTAATTTACAGTGTCTTTTTGCTTAAAGTATTACTGATTGAATTTTAAAGCATGAGTTAAATATTAATTCAACGAATTTAATAAGTAAGGCATATTATGGTGCAGACTTCATGTCTGGCCAAAATGGAGGAGTACAAATCTTAATTCAAAAATAAATTAATAGTTCCATTTATGCATTGCAACAACCACAAGTTGTATTTTGTGGTTCAAAATTGGCATAATAATATTGTTATCATTTTTAATTTTGTTAATTTATCCTATGCATTGTGTAATTTTTTTAAGTGTTTTAACAAATCCTGTAAATATACAGGTCATACTCTTAAGAGACTTTTAGACCAGAGTTAAACTGGTCTCTTAGAAACATCTCGCATCATTTATGAAATTGAGGTTATTGGTGAAATATTCTTTTGCTTTTCTAGTAGAATTCTTAACTCAGAGGTTTCCACTCATGATTCAGTCGACGCCTCTGGTCTTTTATCTCAATGCGTTATAATTTATTACAATAACAATAGATGCACTAATTAAGTATCTTCAGTCTGTATATAGTTGATGCTAAAAATTGTAATGATTACACGATCAATATATTAAAAAATAAAGAAGCGATAATTCTTTTGAATTGATAAGAATAAAGGCTGAAAAACCTTTAGCAAAATTTAATCTCATACACCAAAATTCATCAAGGGCACTTAAAACGCCTATAAATTTTCAAGATTTTTAGTCTAGACCAAATTACAATTTGATTGTGAAAATTAACTCCAATTGGAGTTCTTTACAAAAGAATTATTATTAAATTATTGATTATTTTATTGATCGTTTTTGTTATATAATAAATTTAAATATTAAAGTTCATTAAATTATTAACACTCTTATATTGTGAAATATTCAAATTATATTTTTATCTTATTTTTGCCTTTCAACTTACAAATTAACCTTTTACAACTTAACCTTTTATTACTTTTGTTTTTCGTTTTGATTATATATATTCTAAATTATATTTAAAAATTATATATATATAGCGTATAGAAGATAATAAAAATGAACATTCTATTTTTAAGACCATAGCATCTATATGGTGCCTCGGTCTCTAAATTCAAATTAAAAATTTATAAAAAATATTTTCTCCTGTTACAGAAAAAAAACTCTCCGTTATCAATAATTTTTTTATTTTTTGAATACCTGGTTTTTTTTCTTCCATTTCGTTGTAATGGGGAAATTTAACATGCAAA